ACGGGACGGAAAACATGAAATTTTGCAATAATCTTACGCCACCCTTGCACAAAACGACGATAATTTTTCTAATTTCATAGACAACAGAAGACTGAATTTTCTCTACATAACCGCCCTCCCCCCTGAATTTAAAGCTGGATCCGCCCCTGGTTTGTATGAGAATTGCTTGAATCAACAACGGGGAAAAATGGCAAATTAACGACGTTCTTGGCATTTTCTAGTAGCAGAAAACGACACTAAAAATCAAAACTTTACACTCCATTAGCATGTAAAATCTGGGGTGCACAAACGTAAATCTCAAAGTGAAAATGAAGCCCAGAAACGTTCAGATGGTGCTAATAAATCTTCAGAATCATATGGCACCATTTCCAAATTTCTTTCGGGTTGCTTCAGCGGGTTTCGTCACCACATCAGGTACTCAGTAAGATTTTGCCTCATTATATTAATGAAACGCACGATTATCAACACCGAAAGAAAGAGGGAAGACCTTGAGAGCCTAGACTATAGTTCAGCGAACCGCGAAGCGTGATTGGATGGTATCTGGTACTTTAGTCCGAGCGCTGATCCTCTAACTGATTCTTCATGTGAATTTTTCGGTTAGGAATGCTTTTTTGAATGATCAAGGAACATTGGCAAGTTCTGGGCATGATATGTTTGTGTTAAATGCTGTTAGGAAGCGATGGGGGCATTTGAAGTTTTTCATTTCTGCAAAAAATTGTCGAGCACCTTTGAAGATGCACGCCACTCGGCTAAAAACTCGAAAAAGTCACTGATTTTAAGTTGAGACTATCAACTGAACGCCAATAATAATAATAATAAATAAATGGCAGAATATGGGTAGTCGCACTAAAGTATTACAATTAATTAATTCGAAATAAAATTCTCACATTCCGCGTTTGAACAAATGACAGCAATCTGGGTCACTAGCTGAATTTTCTTGCGTCGTTTTGCGTAATCCGATTACATGATACTTATTTTATTTTGATCAGTTTACGACCGCTTTTCCCTTTAATCAGTGAATCTGTTGCTCAACATTCAGATCCATGCGAGAAGCGGTCGAAAAAGGATTTTTCCCCAACATTCCGAATCTCCATTCGTCTAGATTCTGTTCTAGACTATCTGAGATGCGCTGGTTTCTGCTCTTTTCTAACTATCGTGAATAGAACAATGTTTGGTTTGGTTGCAGAAATTGCAATAAATCGCGCCCGAAATGGGAAAATGCCATAAATTAACGACTTAAACCGGCTGCTAAATGCGAGATGCAATGTGCACTTTTGCAACTGATTCCGTTATATAATCGGCTTTCGTGCGATTTGAAACTGTCCTGATATCGGCCAGACTGGAGTTATTAGAATGGAAACAATAATAGTTTGCCCCGATTGGCTACGATAAAATCTAACAAAAAACTTTATTGGGTTAAGGCCCCCTTTGCCAATCGCGCTGAACCTTAGCTTGGAATCAGTCAAACGTGTCCGATTGGCTCATGACTTTCAAACATGCAAAGGTCTCGAATGTATTTCTGGTTTTTGTGGAAATAAATAGCAAATATGATGTAGAAGGTGAATTTTAATCACCTGAATGTTGCAACTCTTTGTATCATTTCGATATTATAATTCGATAGAACAGAAGAATACGTTGTGCATGTTTGTCGGCTTTTGTCAAATTGTCGCTGAAACATTCTTATTCACTGCTTCCTCACTAATTTTCTCTCAAACTAGGCCTGGGTAACTCTTTAGGAGTTGGAGCAGTGCCACGCAAAGGGCTTGGTGCGCCAACCCAACTCGCCGGCGCAGTAACTCACTTCCGGCGCTGGGCAAATGTTGATGTCTTTTTTTAGTTGCTTTCAGATTTATTCAAGGGTCATTTATTAATGATATTTTTAAAATTTCTTCAAAATTTCAGAATTTTCCAGTTTTAGCCAAGTTACTCTTTCTTCTAAATGCTCAATTTTCTAAAGTTTCACTTA